GGTTGGAGACTAAATAAAATAACACAGGAAAACACACAGTATCTACATAGATATGGATCTTCCACTACAACGAGAATGAACATCCAGGCAAAGCTCTGCAGGAGTTCCAAGAGTTGGCAGGATATGATTTTGTTTCCAAAGGAAATGCAGGTTACAAGATAAGCCACATACCTAATTTAGTAAAAGGCCTTTAAACTTCATTTGAATGGACATTGACACCTTAACTCTGCCCACAGTTAGTTCTTCTTAACCTTGAAACTCTGCTTTGAACAAGATGATTTTTATCATCTTTTTGGTCAGTGAACCTAGCAGCTGTTGTCACTTTCAGCTGCCTTGTTGCTTGTACACTTGGTAATTCCAAATTATAACAATTTTTCAATTCCCGATGAGAGAAAAAAATGGCATTCTGAGGAAGATGTTGAGGACTGACCCATACTCCAAGGTAAGTTAAAAAAACTGAGTATTTAGTAAATTGGTAGATAAGGTTCATAAATGGTTTTTCAAAAACTGATTTAACTTGCTAAACAGTGAGTTTCTATAACATGGACTTACTGCCTCAGCTAGGAGGTAACCTTTCCCCCAAGTTTTTTGTTACTTTATGTTGTCACATGAATGCTAAGTAATTCATTTCCTTTAGTACAAGAAGATACAAACACAAATGTGCGAAAAAGCAGCACGTGGGGAGGAAGAGGGTAAGGTGGCCGAGTTCATCCCTGTGGTAGGTACGAGGCCCAAGACTCTGCAGAAAAGGGACAGAAACTTGGTGGACAGTGCCCTGACAAACTGCAGAATTGGGTACATTTTCCAGTGCTTACTTATGTTATGCTTCTCCCTTTTTTTTTTGAGTTGGAGTCTCACTCTGTCGCCCAGACTGGAGTGCAGTGGCCGCTCCTGGCCACCGCAGCCTCGACCTGCTGGGCTCCGGCGATCCATCTGCCTCAGTCTTCCGAGTAGCTGGAACTAAAGGCGCGCGCTATCACACCCGGCTAATTTTTTATTTATTGTAGAGATGAGGTCTCGCTGCCCAGGCGGGTCTCGAACCCGCGGGCTCAGGCAATTCATTCACCTCAGCCTCCCAAAGGCTCGGGATTACAGGCTGAGCCACCGAGCCCAGCTATGCTTCTCCCTTTTAAGGTAAATCCATGGTCTGTAAAAGAGTCTATATAAAAACATGAAGCAGGGTCAGTCTTCTATCTTGACTAGAACTCAATTTATAAGTACTGAGTGTCCTTCCACTGCAAACTCTTTAATTTTCAAATTTTATTGGATCTCATTCTGCTTTATTAGAGTCATATCTTAAGGATATTTCATTAATATGAAAACCTAGGGAAGTCCACATAAAATGCCAATGCAATGGCTGGCTACCAAGATAACAAATTCCAACCCCAATGGGGTTCAATGATCACAAAACCACAAAACAAGGAACATCAAATCCATTAACTAAAATGACTAAGTCACCACCTTTATCAGAAAAGATTTTTCTTATTCATTTCTTTTTTTTTTTTTTGAGTTGGAGTCTCACTCTGTCGCCCAGACTGGAG